ATATCAGGAAGCCACCCACAGAGACGCCCAGAGGGAGAGAGTCAGAGGGAGAGAGGTGAATCCAATTCAGTCGTCTCGGAACAGATTCTTCTTCGTGGGGGGCAAGAACCTGGTTTCCACTGCCGCTTACTGCAAGGTTTTTGCCGCCGTGGACGGTAGGTCCTTGCTCTGGTGAGACAATTGCGGGGCCAAAAGGAGCCGGGAAAAGGCCGTAGAAAGACAGGAATTTTTGTCCATAGTCAGAGGCCCGATTGTTCTGTTCTTATCCCCGCGGGCGAGCGATTTGACCATCCACCCCGCATTCGCACATCCGCCGCCTCGCCGCCTCTTCCACTCCTGCCGCTTCGCTTTGTCAAAGAAGATAGAGAGCTGTATCGTTGCCGTCGACCGCTCCAGCCACCTCAGGTGCCCATTTCAATGCCCGTCGCGTTTAATTCCTCCGTGTTTTTAAAGTTTTGTGGTAAAGGCGGCGCCTTTGTCATCGAAGCCGAAGTTTTGTGGGTTGTTCCTTGGATTGTGTAATTTGCGTGTCGAGTTCGAGGTTTATTTGGTTCCATAAAAAAATGCAAAATTGAGACGCTAGTTACCTGTGGTTTGTGTAAGAAAATTGTGTCCTGGGTCGTTTTGCAAAGAATTGGAGACCTGACGTTTTTTTTTATGGAAACAGAAGACCTGACGTTTTATTTTTTACACCGCGGTTGTTTGCATGATTGAGTCGAACTGCATCTTGCAGTGGTGTGCTTGGATTCAGTTCAAATGTCAGCGATCTCCTGTTAGCTTATGCTGAAATTTGGCTTATGCTAAAATGTTGTGAGATAAAAAACACTGTTCCATGGCTGAAAATGAATAAGCTCAAGCGAACAGGGCAAAGCTGGTTTGGCTGTAATTTACTTGCACATAGGACTATGATTTCGTTCAGTAATCAGTAGTGTTTATATGTGTACTCTGTGTTTATATGAATTCCACACCTTATATAATCTCGTGGGTTTAGCAGTAAAGTACTCTACTCTCATGTATGTGCAAAGGTTGCCCCATTACCTGTCCATATCCTGAGCTCAAGTGCCTGTATATTAAATGACTGCTGCTATCTTCAGTTAGCTATTCTCATTTCCAGCTATGCTATCATATGCCATGTCTAGTAATATCATTTGCCTTATCATATGCACAGTTGATAGAAACACTGCACCACTTGATCTTATTAACACGATTGTTTAGTGTTTCAACTAACATAATGGTTTTGCTTTAAAGGTTTAAGTTTGAGTTGCTTCCCTTATTGCTGGGACTGACAACCGCTGCGCATTGATGGAGGATTGGATGCTTCCCTCACCCAGCCCAAGAACACTGATGCCAAGCTTCTTCAGCGAAGAATTAAGCTCCGCTCCATTCTCCAACATCTTCGGTGACGATAGAAGCAACAAACCACTGGATGAAATTGAGAAGAGTAAATCTTTCATTGGTTCGAGTGCTCAAGAAACCTCTCAAGATATGAAAGACCATCCACAGACTGAATCAAACCTTTTTGGCGCAAATCAGAAATCAACCTCTCCTGGAGGTCTTGCAGAGAGGATGGCCGCAAGAGCGGGTTTTGGTGTCCTGAAAATTGACACGTCCCGTGTCAGTTCATCTGGTGCACCAATCCGGTCTCCTGTGACAATTCCTCCTGGTGTGAGCCCAAGGGAACTTCTTGAGTCACCGGTTTTCCTTCCAAATGCCATTGTAAGTGTCTGTATTCATCGTGTGATTTTTGTCTGGGTGATACTGTGAAGGATAGGCTGGCCAATAGCTTCGAACTATATTCTAACCTGATAATCTAATTGGTTGTTTTTTTACCACTTTCCAATGTCTTATTGCGAAGGTGGAATTTTCGAAGAAGAAAAAAAGGTGAACCAATCTTTATTGTCCGAACATTCCGTAACTGTTTATATCTCTGCAGTCGCAACCTTCTCCTACCACTGGTAAATTGCCATTCCTGATGCCTAATAATTTTAAATCAACAATGCCGTCCGTCCCCGAGAAGTCTGAAGATCACTCACATGAAGATTCTGCGTTTTCCTTCCAGCCCATTTTGAGGTCTAAACCATCAACCTTATGGACTGCAGAGAAGGTAATTTGCCTGATCACTTATTTATTGCCATTGCTATTTCTTATAATTGCATTTTCTTTTTTTTCTACTAATTCAATCTGCAAAAGCATATCTAGCAGTTAATAATGCACTTATTTATTGCCATTGCTATTTCTTATAATTGCATTTTTATTTTTATTTTCTACTAATTCAATCTGCAAAAGCATATCTAGCAGTTAATAATGCACTTGCCTTGATGAATTTGCACTGTCAGGGGTCAAGTGTTGTTCACCAAACCCAGTCCTTAGCGAAGGATAGTCAGGAGTTAAATCTTCATGCTAACCCAACTGCGACCAAGCATGAAACTGAGGAAAATCTAGTTAAACCTAAGACATATGATTCCATGTTTGATAATGATCATCCTTCCCCTGACGTTGAGCCAGAACAGAGCGAGGAAATCCAAAATGGGGAAGATTCTTCAGCTCCAGTCACTGGCACCGCCGAGGATGGATATAACTGGAGAAAATATGGAGAAAAGCAAGTGAAGAACAGTCAACATCCAAGGAGCTACTACAAATGCACTCACCCAAAATGCCCTGTCAAGAAAATGGTGGAGCGTTCTCTAGAAGGTCATATAACGGAGATAGTCTACAGAGGTTCTCATAGTCACCCACTGCCGCTTCCCAACCGCCGTCCAAGTGTCCCTTTGTCGCAATTCAATGATTCAGAAGCTGATGGTCTGGAGAACTTCAGTTCCAAGCCTGGGCCTGGCTATAACTCGGCAACTTCACAGGGAATTGCTCCGAACGGCCAGTTCCAAGATGTGCACAGCGGAGCTCTTGAAACAAAACTGTCTGGCTCTCTTACTACAACCGAGATTGCTGACACGTCTGTTTTGGAGTCTATGGATGTCTCATCAACACTCTCCTCCAATGAGAAGGGTAATAGGGCAATGCATTGTGCTGTTTCTTCAAGCAATGGCATGAACGAAGACGAGACTGAATCTAAAAGAAGGTTGGACCTTGTTACCAAGTACATAATTCTAGCTACCATCCTAGTCAACGAACTCTCATTTGTTCCTTTGACTCTTTTCCAGGAAAATGGAGGTTTCTGCCGCTACTAACACTAGCAACACTGGCATTGATATGGCGGCTATGGCATCAAGGGCTTCCCGGGAGCCTCGGATTGTTGTGCAAACAACAAGCGAGGTCGACATCCTTGACGATGGCTACCGCTGGCGCAAGTATGGGCAGAAAGTTGTGAAAGGCAACCCAAACCCAAGGTCAGTCTTGGTGCCAATTTCCGTCTGACTCATCCTTTATCAGGAAACCAAGTGGAATTTTAGCCTCTTCAATTGTTCAACACACCCTTCTATTTGCATATAGGAGCTACTATAAATGCACTTATGCGGGCTGCTCAGTGCGCAAGCATGTGGAGAGGGCCTCGAACGATCTCAAGTCCGTGATCACGACGTATGAGGGGAAACACAACCATGAAGTTCCAGCTGCCAGGAACAGCAATGGGCATCCGACCTCTGGCTCCGGTGCTGCGCCACAGGGTAACGGCCTTCACCGGAGGCCAGAGCCTCCACAATTCAGCATGCCTCAATTGAGCGGTGCTGCTGCTGCCTACGGCTCACTCTGTCTCCCACCACAACTCAGTGCAGCTGCAGCTTCTGGGGGTTTCTCCTTCGGAATGCTGCCTTCTGGCATGGCAATGCCGGTACCATCTCTGGGCAACTTCATGCCAGCGCAGGTGCCTGGCCATGGATCGTCAATGCAGGGCTGCACAGGCCTCATGCTGCAAAGAGGCGAGGCGAAGGTGAACCCAGAGCGGCAGTTCGGATTACCGGTGGCGAATGGGAATGCCTCGGCAACTTACCAGCAGCTCATGGGCAGGTGGTCTCAGGATCATCAGATGTAAATACTCCAGCAGGGACAGAGATGAAGAGATAGGATTTGTTATTTGCTTGTGTACATAAACAATGTCATTGCTCAGTGGTTTCTTCTACCGTAGCTCCTTTGTTTGCTTTCAGCCTTTAGTACAGAAGATTATTCTGATAATAGTAAGGAGGGAGAGAGGGAAAGGGGAAGGGATGAACTTGGGTCATCAGGCTTTGCTGTTGTGTTCATTGAATTATTCAGACTAGGGTCCTGGAGTAGTAACTAGCTTCAATATCTGCTCTTTCGCAGTGATGTGACCATTCAAAGACAGACCATCCCATAAATCAGTCAGCATTTTGCTGGTCGTTTTCTTTTTTAATAAAAAAGCACTAATTATGTGATTGATTGACCTTCGCTTGTCCACGTCCTGAGTTGTTTGCAAGTCTGAGTTCACAGTTCAGCTAGGAGTTGAACAATAATCAGGTCAGATGGCACTGCAGCTCAAGTCACCGGAGTCAGGCATGATTCAAGGCACACAGGAAATACTGCCTGCTAGCAACAGGAAATTCAAAAGCAGATGCGTAGGAAGTAGTGGGAAGCTTACGGTGGCTGTTTCTAACTGTGATCAGATTCTAAAATGGTGCATTAAGAATGAAACATCACAATAACTTTGATGACTAGTGATTTGAGGTTCTAAACTTGTGATCAACAAATTATTCTTGAATCTTGGTGATCCAATATGTGTTATGTGTAAGAAAAGACATTGATGGATGCCTAACTCGATCCAGCATTATATACGACGTAAACATTTTATTCACAGATGAAGCATGCATATGTTAATATGTAACATACAAAAACTTACTCTCAACTTGTGGTTAACAAAAACAATAATAAAGTAGTCTAATAGGACGCCCCCAGTGCAGAACACTATGATTTCAAGAAAATAAGTCAACCAATTTGAACACTCTAACCATCTAAGGAGGCAAGACATAATTGGTTTATCGATCATCATGTGCATCACTTTGGGACCCCTTGCCCAAATATTAATGTAGCTCTTAACTTGAGCACATCAAAGAGAGTTCTGCAGGGACATATATATAAGTTTTAACCCTGAAACATATACCAGTGCGAGTGCGCACAGATCAAGCAATGAACTTATTTTTTTACTTTTCTGAGGAAGAAATATCAAGCAATGAACTAGTAGTAGAGCAAATATAAATGAATGTGGCAAGAAGATACACAGAGGCGATTTACCAGCGAATGAGTCCAAAGCAAACACATTGAGCAGGACGGAAACCCCATAACATAATTCTGAAGCAGAATAGCCATTAGCCAGAGATGAGATGAGGACGAGGCATGGACGCATGAACATGGTATACCTGAGGAGACCGCTCGCGGCAGCTCCCAATCGCGGACGAATCGGTTGGCAATGCCGTACTCGCGGGGAGGCGCCACCAGGTGGTAGCGTTCGCAGTCGACAACCTTGCGGGCGGGCACGTCGACGGCGAAGAGGTGGTCCTCGAGGAAGGAGTAGACGACGGCGGGGTTGTGGGGGTGGATGAGCGCGAGCACGGGAGCCGTCTTTGGGAGGCCAGTGGCCTTGTAGGTGTCGTCGGCCCAGACGTCGGCGAAGGTGGCCTGGTGCTCCAGCGTCCACTCAGTGGCGTCCGGATCGCGCAGCGTCCAGACGGTGACCTGGTTGGGAGCGCCTCCGAGGCGGTAGGTGTCGACGAAGCGCAGGCTGCCGGCGCTGACCCCGACGTAGCGGAGCTGATCGAGCACCCCCCAGGCCTCCCTGCTCTTGAGCACGCATGGGCGGGGCAGCGGGACGAAGCCGAGCACGGGGTCGTCGGCGAAGGGGTCGGCGGTGAGGACGCCCCAGGAGTAGTCGGCCCACCAGAGCCTGCCGTGGTGGGCGAGCGTGCGGAGCGGCGCGAGCACGCGCACTGGGAGCGGGTAGCGCACGCGCTTGTTGACCCACTCGCCGACGTCGGAGGCGAAGCAGCGGAGGTCGGTCTTGTCCGTGCCCATGAAGGGCAGGAGCTCGGCGACCACGTCGGAGGCGAAGCAGCGGAGGTCGGCCGAGGCGGAGGCGGCCCCTGGGGGTCGGCCGAGCTGGAGCTTAGCCTCGGGAGTCGGCTGAAGCGAAGTCAGCCTAGACATCGGACCAGATGGAGCACGTCGGACGAGGCGAAGCCCATACTAAGGGTCGGACGAGACGGAACCATCCTCAGAGGTTCGATGAGGCGGAGTCAACCCTCGGGGGTCGAATGAGGCGGGCCCCATGGTCTTGGGGTCGAACGAGACGGAGCCCGGCAAGAGGCGTAATCGCGCTCCTACATCTCGGATAACCAACGTCGATGGTTATTAGCTCCTCCTCTATGTGTACCATAATATTGGTCTTCGACAAATACAATTATAGAAAACGTGCTAGCCAAACTTACTCATCTTTGATCAAGTTTATAGTAAATAGTATTAGCATTTATGTCTCGAAATAAATTTATTATGAAAATATATTCTATAACTAATCTAATGATACTTATTTTGTCTCACAAGTGTGTTAGATAATCTACTGTTTTCTTGTGTGAACACACGGCAGGGGAAGGCGATGCTGAAAAGGCCCCCTACTGTGGTACTCTAGTCGCTGTAGAGGCAGGCACTGAACGGCTCACCTACCGCACTGTAGCCACAGCAGGGGCAGACGCCAGAGTCAGCCCTGCTGTGTTATCTAGTCACTGTAGCAGCATGACAGCTGTACTAGGACTAGATGAATAGAGTTGTATATATAGTTTGCCACTGTAACTCAGTAAAGGGAGCGAGTTCAGATTTGTCATCTCCTATACAGAGCTCCGCCCAACGCTGGTGTCTCTGTTGTGTGTGTATGCTCTGTTCTCCCTCCATTCTTCTATCTCCAGCTATAGTGTGTGGTCGAACAACGTCTGTTGTGGTCGACAAGACTGGTGAGAGGTCGACTCACCTGAGCCGGTGATCCTGTGTGGACCAACAAGTGGTATCAGAGCCGTACAAGCACCGTCGCCGGACTAACCGCTAGCGATGACGGACGGTTTGGAGTTGAGCGACAGCAGTGGCACTGCTGTGGCTGCCCAACTACGACAGGAGGTCGTTGTTCGCACGGTGCGGGAGATCAGCGGCATCAGTTGGCCGACGCTAACTCGCACCTACTATGAAGATTGGTCGGTGACCATGAAGGTCAAGCTTAAAACCCAACGGCTCTGGAATACTGTTGACAAAGACACCGACAATAAAAAAGACGATATGTCAGCATTGGAGGTTATCCATGCTGCTGTACCAGCAGAGTACAGGGAGCCGTTGGGGGCGAAAAGCTCTACCAAGGAGGCGTGGGTGGCCATTGCGGCGATGCACGTCGGTTCCGACCATGCAAAGAAGACGACGGCCCAGCTTCTGAAGCAGGAGTACGCCAACCTCAAGTTCAAGGATGGTGAATCGGTTGAGGACTTCTCCCTCCGCCTGCAGACGCTCATCAACAAGCTAAAGAGCCACGGCGTCACCATCGACGAAGAAGAGGCGGTCTCCAAGTACATCCACTCCGTGCTGGCAAAGTACATCAAGATCGCTCTCTCCATAGAGACGATGCTGGACGTGTCCACCCTCACCATTGAGCATGTGACAGGCCGTCTACGGGCGATGGACGAGCGCCTAGAGCAGGTGACAACAACGAAGGTCAGCAGCAAACTGCTGCTGACAGAGGAGGAGTGGGCTACTCGGAGGAACTCTGGGGTAGCCTCCTCCAGCCACGGTGGCGATGGCAAGCGCCGCGGTAAGGCTTCTTCGATGAAGAAGAAGCAGGTCGACCCCAACGTCTGCCGATGTTGCGGGAAGACGGGCCATTGGGCACGGGAGTGCCCAAATCGCAAGCAGGAGAAGAAGGTTGAGGCTCATCTAGCGCAAGCTGACGATGAGGCCACTATCCTAATGGCGATGTTCTGTGCACTGCACGACGTCGAGGCCGAGGAGAAGGTAGAGGTGATGGCGGTGGAAGGGTCTAGGAAGGCCCTGAAGGCTGTCATCCTCGACGAACCACGCGCCCAAGTCCAACTCGAACGTGTGGGCAGCGAGCAGGAGCAGTGGTGGTATCTGGACTCTGGCGCCAGCAACCACATGACGAGCTCTAAGACAGCCTTTTTCGAGCTCGATGATGATGTAACCGGTAAGGTAAAGTTCGATGACGGCTCAAGAGTGGGAATCCGAGGACGCGACACCATCATCTTCAGGTGCTAGAACAGCGAGCACCGCGCGCTAACGGATATATATTACATCCCGCAGCTGCGTTCAAGCATCATCAGCATTAGTCAGTTGGATGAGCGCGGGAGTAAGGTACTGGTCAAGGACGGTGTCCTTAGGATCAGGGACCGGGAGCAGAGACTTCTTGCTAAGGTGAAGAGGTCCCAGAACTGGTTGTACCTGCTCGATTTGAAGATGGAGCAGCCAGTGTGCCTGGCGGCACGGTATACCGATGAGCCGTGGTTGTGGCATGTCCGGTTTGGCCATCTCAGCTTTGACGTGCTTGGTCGGCTGGGGAAGATGGTCCGAGGGCCGCCTCACATCGAGCATAGAGGCGAGCTGTGATGGCTGCCTGACCGGGAAGCAGAGGAGGCTACCATTCCCAAAGGCGGCCAAGTATCACGCGATGAAAGCTCTCGAGCTCGTCCATGGCGATCTCTACGAGCCAATCACGCCAGCCACAAACGGTGGCCGGTAGTACTTTCTCCTGCTCGTGGATGATTGCAGTCGCTACATGTGGCTGCAACTCCTGATGAGCAAGGACGAAGCGGCGGTGGCGATCAAGAAGTTCAAGATGCGCGCGGAGGCTGAGAGTGGCAAGAAGCTATGCGTGCTGAGGACTGATCGCGGAGATGAATTCACTTTGGTAGAGTTCGCTGCGTACTACGCGGATCAGGGTGTGGTGTGACACCACACCGCGCCGTACTCGTCACAGCAGAATGGCGTAGTGGAGCAGTGGAACCAGACGGTGGTCGGTATGGCTCGATCCTTGATGAAGGCCAAAGGCATGCCAACAAGGTTCTGGGGTGAGACGGTGACCACTATGGTGTTCAGCCTCAACCGCACGCCCACCAAAGCCCTGAAGGGCTTGATGCCGTTCGAAGCTTGGTATGGACGGAAGCTGAGCGTGTCCTTCCTTCGGACATTTGACTGCATCGGCCATATTAGGAAGATGAAGCCGATCCTCACTAAGCTGGAGGACAGGAGTACACCAATGGTGTTCCTAGGCTACGCAGAGGGTACCAAGGTGTACCGGCTCTATGACCCACGCGTAGATAAGGTACTTGTCTTGCGTGACACCGTGTTCGATGAGAAGGTGGCTTGGGACTAGAATAGTCCGAGCATGGGGGAAGCTGGTGGCTTCAACAGCACCTTCATCGTCGAGCACTTGGTCATCCACAGTGGTGGAGATGCTGGGGAAGAGGTGCCAAGCACTCCAGGAGAGGTGCCGAGCACTCCAGCGATAGAGCCGAGCACTCTAGGGGAGATGCCGAACACTCTAGGAGGGGTGCCGAGCACTCCAGCGATAGAGCCGAGCACTCTAGGGGAGGTGCCGAGCACTCCAGGAGGAGTGTCGAGCACTCCAGGAGTGAAGCCGGGAGGTCCTGCAATGGCGTCAACCACTCCAGGACGGATGCCGAACACTTCCGTATTAGAGCCAAGAAGTCTTGCAGTGGTGCCAACCACTCCAAGACTGAGGCTGAGCACTCCTGTAGTGGTGCCGAGCACTACAGGAGTAGTGACGAGCTGTCCAGAAGTAGTGCCGAGCACTCCGGGAGGGATGTCGATCAATTAGATTTAGTTTTGTAGGTTACCTATAAGGAAAATAGACCATAGGTCCATTTAATTTGAATTTTGGTGTTTGATAACCAACACAACCAAATTTGACTAATGAATTTGCAAGAGATTGTTTTGTAGTTCAATAGGGTGCAAGACGTGACTTAGACGAAGGCGACGTGATGATCCAATGATCAACACCTTAAGCAAGACCCTAGAAGCACAAGAGAAGACCCAAGATATCAAGCAAAGTCCAAGCACGAAGATAGGAATCAAGCTAGACGCAAGATCGCGAAGAAACGAGCTCACAAAGGTGACTGGGGGTAGCACCGGGCGCTGTCCTTATAGCGAACGGACGCTCCGATCAGTTGCTCGGCAACAACAGACGTCAGCAGCAGCGACCAGACACTGAAGACTGAAAGTGACCGAATGCACTGATGGTACTGTTCATCATCCCAGCAACAGCTCAGCATTGACCGGACACTAGCGGCTAATCGACTGGACGCAGGGACTGCAGCGTCCGATCGAGTACAGAGAGGTTCCAGAGCGGTGAAATTACGACCGAATGCGTCCAGTGGCATGTGATCAGACGCCAGCAGTGTCCGATCAGTTGATCACGGCTGTAACAGTCAGGACAACCGGACGCATCCGATCAGGACGACCTGAGCGTCCGGTCAGTAGCAGAAAAGCAGGATTTCATCCCCAATGGCTACTTTCTCCATGGGGCTTATAAATAGACCCCACAACCGGCCATTTCACATGGGTGGAGCTAAGGAAACATATCTAGGGTGTTGATACACCATTTTAGTGATCTTCACATGCATAATGCTTAGTGATTCATTAGGTGATTAGCATAGGTACTTTGCGAAGTGCTTAGGTTGATTAGACCACCGCTTATGCGCTTGCTCTAGGTTTTAGCCTAGTGTTTAGTGAGGTTTGCATACCTCTTACCACTCGGTACTTGCGCGCACCATTGTTGTACATCGGAGGGGCTTGTAGCCTTACGAGATCACACCAACCATGTTTGTGGTGTGGCCGCCACCGTGTACCGGAGGGAACAAGGCCCGCGGCGTTTCGGCTAGAAGTTTGATAGTGAAGACGGTGGGAAGCGGTCTGGGAGAGGCTT